GGGAGGGGGAACCTGCCCAGCGCCGCGAACAAAGAAACCCCACGGCAGCGGCGCGGGCACAAAGAGCCGCCGGCACCGGAGCTGCCCACGGCCCCGCGTGGCCGTGCCCGCGTGCCCTGAGGCCAACGGTTTGGTTCCCGTGGGTGGGATGGAGCGTGCGCCGTGGTGTGCACACACACACACAGACCGTGGTGTGCTCACACACATACACCGTGGCGTGCACACACATAGATCGTGGCGTGCACACACAGACAGACCATGGAGTGCACACAGATACACCGTGATGTGCACACACACATAGATCGTGGCATGCACACACATACGCCGTGATGTGCACGCGCACTCCCCGACACAACCAACACCCTACGGCCGTCCCCACCATCCAACCCCCCCGGCGTTTGCCTGCTCTGGGCTGGTTTTTCCCCACGGCCGGGCGACGCACCCGCATCCCGCAGCCTGGCAGAACCTTCCCTGCGCGCCCCAACGTGTTCTTTTGTGAAACGCCTGAGCGGGGTTTTGCTCCCACATCGGTAAAGGCTCAGAAAAGCGTCTGCGTGAGGGTGAAGGGCAGCTGAGGTGGTCTCACGTCTGCCTCGCCAGGACCGCTGTCAGGGGGGCTTTGCCATGCTAATGGATAATTAGATAGGCAGACAGACTGACAAGGATCCAGATGGATGGATAGATGCCACGAGGATCTGGTGACAGATAAATAGGCAGATGCTAATGGGCAGCGCAAACAACAGCTTAGACTCCTGCTAATTCCCACTGTAATTTTTAAGCTCTCTCCATCCTCCCCCCACTTTTTCCCCCCTCTCTGCCTCCCCTCCCCAAGCTCTCACCAGCACACATCCATCACTTATATTTATATTAATTTTGGTTTTTTTTTTTTTCACGGAAGTACCATAAATGGTTCTTAAGGGCTCTAAGGAATAACGAGCAGCAGTGAGCTGAGGTGGGCATCGTGCGGGTGCTCAGGGAGGTGAAACCCCTGGGGTTACCCTGAGACCAGCCCGGGCCAGGCTTGGCTGTTGGGGCGTCTCCATCCCTCCTTGCCCAGCACTGCCGTCACCAACCCGACACTGATTTATTTTTCAATTAAAATAAATTTAAAAAAAAAAATAAATTGTCCCTTTTCTTCCACGGCAGAGATGGGAAGAAGAAAATTGTGAATGGAGGGGAGGAGGACAAGGTGGATTAGAGCTGGAGACCACGGCCGAGCGGGCGGCGGAGACAAAAGAAAGCATCTTCGCTTGTTTTCCCTTGCCGCGGGGAATCCACGTGGCGGTTGCGGGAAGGCGGGGAAAGTGGGAAAGGGAGATAAATCCTGCTGGAAGGCTTTCGGCAGCGCCCGCATCATGTGGGAGATTTATAGCCCTGCGCTTCGCAGCCACCTGCCTGCGATGGGTGCTGCTCCCCGGCTCCGCCGGGCTGGGCTCGTTAGCCAGGCCCCTACTTAATGAGATATGAGGATGCTGATGTGATTGTAGACCTTTGGGTCTTTCCAGTTTGGCGGGGACATCACCGCCACTGTTGTCACCCCTCTGTTCCAGCCTGGCGTGAGCCGGAGCCTCGAGCATCCTCCCCCGGGTACCAGCTCCGCAGCCTCCACGCTCACGTCCCGCTCGCTGCCTGGGCTCCTCTCTCTCTTATCTGCCCATCTCCCGCTTTATCACCTCGCCCTGATTTATCTTTGAGCCCATCAGCCCCTCCATATCTGCTCTTTTTCCCACTCTGCCCCTTTTCCCTTCCATGTTTTTTATTATTTTTCCTATAGTTCTCTCTCTCACTGGTTTCATTCCTCCTCTGCTCTACAGATTTCCCTTCTCTCCTCCTGCTCCTTTTCCCTCTCTCCAGTGTATTTTCTCTCCCCTCTGCCATTGGCAGGACTGTGGCAGTGGGGACGAGCGCCGTGGGGCTGGTGTCCCCATGAAGCTGGGTCCGTGTCTCCTGGTCCTATTTCAGACTGAGCTGTGAAATACAGCCCAGGAGGTGCCATCGGCATCTCCAGCATCTTGAGAGCGAACTGGAGATGAGAAGAGCCCAGAGACGTCCCCAAAGGTGCCCAGAGCATCACTGCCAAGCTCCCTGTGCCTTCCCCGCAGCAGGAGCGGAGGAGAAAAACACCATTTCATCTTTATTTCACCCAAAGTGAGGCCAAGGGGGAGGTTGGGGATGGGGAAGGGCCTCAGCCCCTCTGTATCCGTCATCGCAGGCGCACCCGCCGCAGGGAGGGGATGTCGGGGTGGCCGTACCCAGCACCCGCTATGTAGGTCAGAGCTGGCATCCCAGGGGAACGGGAGACCCCCAGGCCCGGGGTCACCCCCCCACCCCCAAGCTGCCGGTTGGACTTAAACCCCTGGGAGCCTCTTACCAGCACCACATATATATACACACACCGTGTACACGTGTGTAGAAATATATATAAAAAAATATATATGTATAATCTGGGCCTTTTTCTTGTTTCAGGTGGAAGCATCTTGCTGATACAATTAAAAGTTTTACCAGAAAAATATTCCGGTTTTTAAAGAAGCTGATTCGAGTTCTCAGCAACTTGCTGAGAAAGCGCCCGGGGGCTTTTCTGACGAGCTCCCGCAGGTATTCCCAATTTCCTTCATTTGCTTTACAAGGTAAGTGGAAAAAAAGAGAAATACCTTCCTTATAAATATAGATAGATAGAAAAAAATATTCCAGGGATTTTTTTTTTTTCCCTGCACAGATTCCTCTTTCCAGGAGTCTTCCAGTCTCCGCACCATCACTTAGTGCAGGGGGGGTGAAAGCCCAGCAGTTACAGGTTGAGGTGACTGGATGGACACTGTTAAGAAATGTGGGAATGGCAAAAGTTTTAATTCCCGGTTTAAAAATAATCTGGGTACAGATGTTGAAAGCTCCTTCAGTTCTCGATTCTTTTCCTTCCCACCACAAAATCCCCAAAGCAGCTTCACCCATCCCTGTGCATCAGCCAAGGGCAGCTCCCGAATGACACCAGGACCCCCACGGCCTGTAGGAGTTGGAAGAAAAAGAAAATCTTGGGAATGTGAGGATCAGAGAGGCTTAAAATATGACCCAGCTTTCGGGGAATTAATTTTGGACCGATTTCTTGCTGCGGCCATCACCTGCCAAAATCCCGCTTCTCCTTTTGGGTAGTTGCCCTCATCCCTCTGCGAGCATCTGGCTTTTTTAGGGGGAGATAAATGGGTGCACGTGGGGTATGGACACGGCCATTGACCAAGACAGACGGACGGCACCTCCAGGACGGACAGAATTTGGCGCGGCAAAAGGGGTGACGATGGCATTGCCTAGACGAGGCGTTTAATTAAGATGCAGGAGCGGTACTTTGGGTGCAAAAAGCGGAGGGGGAAGGGTTAAGGGGCGGCGGGAGAGAGGGGTGAGAAGAAAGCCCGAAGAAAAGAAGGGACCTCATAGCACCCGGCGGGGCTTGATGGCTTAATTACCATATTCAAATCTAATTAATTCCCCTTTGCATAAAAAGGCCACGGCGGGCGTGGGACCAGCCTTGCAGATGGCGTCTCATGCTCAGCACCATTTTGGGGCCGCCGGCCATCTTAGAGCGAGGAGGAGGAGGAGGAGGAGGAGAAGGAGGAGGAGGAGGAGG